CATACGTTTTTGTTTTAAAGAGCCACACTTCAGCCAGGCAGTGGTGGTGCATATCTTTAATCCCTGCACTTGGGAGGCAGAGACAGGTTGATCTCTATGAGTTTGAGGCCAGCCTGGTCTACAGAGCGAGTTCCAGGACAGCCAGGGCTACACAGAGAAACCCTGTCTTGAAAAATAAATTAATAGCCAGAATTCTATCTTCTGGTAGTTTGCTAGCCTAGAAGTGTTAAGTCACACCATATAGGTGGGAAATAGACCTCTTTTTTTTTTTTTTAACAAAAGTGGCCTGCTTATTATTTTATGTATCAGCCATCGGCTGTATCTCAATAAGGTAGTTTAAAAGAATAAGCAAACCAATCGATATTTTCATTGAAAATTAGTTTGTACTCTCTGGATCAAATCCAATATCAGGTTGACAAACTGTGAATGTTGAATCTCAACAGAGTGTTTGAAGTCTTGTTCATATGAATACCATATTACAAAATATACTTTGTTATTAATTAGATAAACCTAACTAATACTTCCAAAATGAAGCAAGCATAATTATGTGGCAATATGATAGGAAATTTGGAGCTAAGAGACGCTAGTTTATGGTTTTAATTACTAGTTTATGTGTGGGGGTGTTTTACCTGCATGTATGTATGTGCATTGTGTATATACTCAGTGTCCATGCAGGTCAGAAGAGGGTATTGGACCCCTGGAACTGGAGTAGCATATGGTTGTAAGCTGCCATGTGGGTGCTGGGAATTGAACCCAGGTCCTCTGTAAGAGCAGCTAGTGCTCTTAGTGACTAAGCCATCTCCCTCTAGTGCCAAGAAGCTTGTTTTGGAAATGAAAGTTGGTCTGCCATCCAGGAAGGGTTGGTCATTTTAACTTCATATCTAGGCACTGGCAATGAGTGGGATAATAGGGGCTGATTTGGTTCTTAGAGTACTGTAGTGAAAAACAGGACTGTTCCATTTCCTTCCTAACATTCATCACAGAATCAAAAAATGCTGTACAATGGAATAATAAAAGAAAATGACCACAGTTCCTGATTTCTTGTGGGGCCTGTAGATACTGACTCTTATTTAGAATACTTGTTAAAAATGATCCGCAGAAAGCCCGTTACCCGTGAAGCCTGTTAAGGTCACAAGCTGCAGTTCCAGCACTGACAGTGTAGCATGCCTGGGAGGGAGTGAAACCTTGAGAGGTGGGGCCTAGATGGATCCTTTGGTTCACTGGGGTGCACCCTGGAAGGGGATTGTGGGACACCAGTCCCCCTCCATCCTTGTCTTTGTTCTCTAACTGTGATTGATGTACATGGGATTATTTTATGTGCTTCTATCACTGTGTGTTGGCACCGTCCCAAAGCAAATGGGTCATGTCTGAAACTGTGACACCAAGGCAACCTTTCCTCATTCTAAGCTAATTCATCTCAGGTATTGGTTATATTAACAGAGAGCTGATGAACAATCCTGAAATAAGGACATCAAGGAGGAAAGAGATTTCCAGGAAATGTTCTCTTATACTGATATCCAGAGAAAGAACTGCATTCATTCATATTCCAAGACATTAGAAGTAGCATTAAATTGCTGGGTGCTGGTGATGTACAACTTTAATTCCAGCACATGGGAGGCAGAGGCAGGAGGATCTCTGTGAGTTCTAGGCCAGCCTGGTCTACACAGAGAAATCCTGTCTCAAAACTGCCACTCCCCCCCCCAAAAAAGGAAGCATTGTTAAATCAACTAAAATTTTTGAGAGAATAATTGCAAATTAAGTCACTCAGTAATATAAAGGCTTTATAAAATTAATTAATACTTTGAAGGTAGTTTATTAAGGACACTAAAGGGAGAAGAGGGTGTAGAAGAGCGACATACTTCCTTCTTCATTTCTTTTAATCACAGAAGAACTGAGACCCAAGCTAGTACTCTTATGATTTGATATATCTGAGCTTTTTCTTTAAGATATAGTTAATTACTATTTAATATAAAAAGATAATTTTCATTTGTGAGAAATGTTCTGAGGTCATAAAAGAACAAAATGTCAATGTCAAAGCCTTTCCCTGCTTTGAACTAGAATTGGGTGTTTCTGTCTGTACAATGTACCCTCCTTGCTGAAAAGCATCCTTCAAAGACAGGCTGTTATTGTCTTCGTGAAGCACATGTCCTTTATCAGTCCTTGTGAAAGTTGGAAATAAAGTGATTAGAGATAGTCTTGGAGAAGAAAAACAAACAATTATTTTGCTGCTACATTAAATTGAAAATCTCCAGAGTTATTGGACCAAATCAGTAACTAAATGTCATAGACAATGACAAGAGAGATCTCATTTTCTGGCTGTCATATTTTAGGGGAGTTGAGAGCTGTGGTTGTCAGTAAATTGGCAACAAAGAAAAATTATGTGTCTGTGGAGTAAGTGGCTGGGAGTGGCTAGATTGTGGGTTCTCGAGAGTGAGAGAATCACTGACTAAATCAATGTGAGTGATCCTTGGGTAACAGGAAGAGTCAAATTCACCATCAGGGCACTTTCCTATTGCATTTAGATCCTTTTCCAACCTCCTGAGAAAAATCCCTTTATCATCAGCAAAATGAGCATGTCTTAAGTCAGGCAGTTAATTGGGAGGACTTCTAAGCCTTCCCAGGGTTGCTCTGGTCTCTGACACTTGGTATTTGTAGCACTGCTGTCTTTGAGAAGTTGATGTCAAATGCTTCCTATTCAGCTGGTTTTTCATTTGAGCAGGACTGCTGTCTTTCCAAACCTCTCTGTGGTGTAGCCATCAACAGGGTTAGAATAATACAGCAAAAGGCCAGGCAATTCAACATCATGTACATTAAAGAATTATCAACTTCTCAGGGTACCTGGTGCCTTTTGGTTCATTCACACATGGTCACTCAAAATCCAGTCACTTAGCGTTCCCTCAAGTCAAGACTTAAGTTTTAGGTTAGGTTTTGTTCTGACCCCACTGGTGACACTAGAAATCATTGTGACACTTTACTGGAAGAGACTCTTCCTTTGGGAGAGTGGGGATGGCTGATGGTTCCTGCAGGTGAGAAGCCTTGGATCAAGCATTTACTATTGGTGGGACTTGCTTCCCATTGTCACATTGTTGGTCTAAACTTCCTATGCTAATTGTTAAAACTGATTGTCAATGTTTATATGTAGGGAGAGTTGATAGGATTATGGATTTGTAATTTCTCTTGACTTTTTGGAGCTGGATCGTGGCTGCCCATTGTTGTCTGAATCACCATGATCCTGACGATATTCCAATGCCTCTTGTAAATACCAAGCTTCTTCATGTGCTCTCTAGGTGAGGAATCCAAAAGTCCAACAGAACTTTTGCAATCAGAGCTTTCATTTCCTTTCTAGATGCTTATTCTAGTTATCAGGACTTGAGGATTCTGTCAATCTGATGGACTCTGCCTGCCTCCAGACTGTGATGGGGATATCTTGCCTTGAAGCAGAGCTAGGGCCAGGGGGCATGCATATGAATTGAGCGTGATACCGGATTGGGTACCCATATGTGTAGACACCCTCCTGGGGAGGGCAGCCCTGGGTGTGGCCTGCCTGTGTTGTATAGGCAGAGCAGGTTTATACTCTTCAAGGCAGACAGCTCACAAAGGAAAAGGAAATTCACTTAGAATGGCAAAGGGTAGACCAAGACCAAGGGCTGTGCCCACCAACTTGTTTCCCAGTGCTCCCAGTGAGCTCCCATTCCTTAACACTGGGCCAACAATTCTACTTTCCTTGGATACTGGAGAAAGAGGTTGATAGCATGGAGACTGACTGTAACATGTTTTGATTAAGCCGTAAAACTTTTTTTCATATTCATTCTCCATTCACAAGTTAGGGAATTCCTTAGGGATGTCTTACTCTCAGACAAACAGTGTGCATCCAAAACAATGTGCCATTAGGTTGAACATCTCAAAGCTGAGCTATCAAATACATAAATATTTATACTTTCAGCATAGTAATTAAAGTCACTCTCTTAATATCCTTGGGGGGAAAAAACAACCAAATGCTGGAGCTGGTGATATGGATAAGACAGCTCTCAAAACCAGTTCAATGTGCAAGATTTGTGCTCATGATTCCCCTGGAAAAGACCCTGGAGGGTTATTCCACTGCTTGTTCTTTAACTCAGCAATTTCTCATTTTTGATGATTTAGCCTATAGCCGAAAATTTTTGCCTTTCTACTTTTAGAGTGCACATGTTTCTTAGAATTGAGTATTTGGAGCAGGCTTTTGTGTCATTTTTACCTTTTGCCCAATGTTATCAACCTATCTGTATGCTATGGTGCATGTGTTCTTTTTCTGATACATCAGTTTGGAAACCAGGACCTGCCTTCCATAGGAAGCAGTATATCTGAGCGAGCCAAGGCCAGGGTAAGATGGAGGGGTGTAATCTCTATGGCTGCGCCATCCCCCAGCTCCGCAAGCTCCAAACAGTGCTGCTGTGAGATAATGCACCAATAATTTCTCTTCCTGTGTCTTTGTTTCTCTAAGCCGATTGTTCACTTCCGTTAGCTCTGGACCATCCTATCAGGCTTGCCCCTCCCTCTGCCTTGCTTAGCAGAGCAGAATAACAGCAGCATAACTTTAAAAGACATCCCCCTTGTCACATCTATCTGGAATTGTCCTTTATCACTTTGAAGAAATGGCAGCTATGAGGAAATTTGTTTTCTTATGCCTCGTAGATTTCTTTCACCCTGATTTTAGGCATTTATTTTACCCCTAAAGCATCCTGTCTTGAATTTAGTAATTTTCAGTACTGGTGGTGCTTTCAAGGAGTCTGGGCTGAATGAACATGGAATCTCTCATAGTGTGAGTAATCTGGAGTGGAACATTATCAAGAATTAAATGCACTCAGAAGCCAGGCAGAACGAAGCTGGTAAGAACTGCAGCAAAGATTGCTTTACAGAAGTCACATGACCTACAAATGGCAGGAGTACCTTTGTGCAATATTTGGCCTATACTCCAACAACTTGGGTTGATTAGAACAAAATTTAATTTGCAATAATCTGCTGGTGGCAAGGAGAGCATGAAATTATGTTGGTATCCTGGATTTGTACTTTGTAGTGTATTTCTTCATAAATCAGTTATCTTTTTAATTTATCTTCAGGTTACAGTACATATAGCACAGCAAACTTTTTTTGTTAAAAATCCTTCTGTAGGGAAGAGAAGCAATTAGATGTTAACCAAGCAAGCACTGTCTCCCTCCTGGCCACTCGCTCAAGGAGAAGGCATAATTCAAGGTGTTTTATTTCTTTGGGTCAAGTGGTATGCCATGGATTTTAGAAGACAGATGGCACCTTGTAGCAAAACCCCCATCCAGTGCAAGATATATAGTGGTCTCTGCTGGTGAAGTCTGATGATTTGTCTGATTTGCTGTTTGAAATGACTGCCCTTGCTCAAAGGCTAGTTTCTACGGGACTCAAAAAGAAAACGATATTTAGTCAAAGCAATAAATCTTATGCTTTCTATTCACCCACAGCCTGTGATTAGCAGGTGGCCTTTTAAAAAATCCCAATGTTAATATGTGAACACATATGGAAGAACTAGGGAGTGACATTCATCAATGATCTGTCTTTGGTTTGTCTCTGGGAGTGGGCAGAGTATCTTAAGGTGGAATGTGGAGCTGATAATAGCATAAAAATGAGGACTGGCACCAGAGATGAGCCCACCTTGACATTGTCACTAACTGACTGTGACTATTAGGCAGTCTATTATTCCTTGGGTCTCAGTTTCCTTATCTGTAATGCAAAGGGCTCATGTGACTAAGCTCACTCCTAATTTTAGAATTGAGTCTGTAGGGGTGAGTTCAGGTGGCTGAGGAGATAGGCCAATGGGCTTGTGGGACAGAGAGTGAGGAGGGCAGAGCTGGAGTTGCTGCTTCTGTGACTGACAAGACAAAGCATGGTCAGGTCTTAGGAAAAAGATCTGTGACGCCACACCACTCAGTGCGAGGTTATAAACCCAGTGTGGTGATGGCAATAGACACACCCCCTGGAAAAGAACGATCCGCAGGGCTTCATAGTGAAGGGAAGCCAGTGAGAGAACAGTATGAGTGTATGGGCTGACTTTGAAATGTATGTCTTTGGTGGATTCTTTTTGAAGCCAAGAAAATAGCTGTAAAGGGAATAATTACTTCTAATTTATCTGTTTCATAAGCTTAGAGCTATATGAATTATGTTTTCTCAGTGTGAGAGCTGTGGTTCCCCATATAGGGTGGTAGGCGTATTGTTACCTTTTATCAGGCACTACAATGAAAGCTAATTTTCCATCCTGGTTTCCTTATTACAGTATAAAAATGCTGTAGTTTTTTTGTTTGTAAACACAATAAGAAACATTTTCAAAAGGCATATTTTCCATTATTATAATGTTTTCCTCATAACAAGCATGGACCAAAGAGCACAGAGCAGACACATCTTGAATCAGCCCCAGGCTTTCCTAGGAAATTTTAATGACTGCATTTAAAATCCAAAGGCTGCATTAGTGGGGTTGAAAAGCTCCATTTTGGAAAATAGTTACTTGTAGAACATCTAGTTTGTTTCTTTCCCCACATAACACAGAAACCAATTTTAAGTTTGCTTCTAGTTCCTCATTATCTCCCCGGAGCGTCGCACTGCCTCACGCCCAACCCTTGCTGCCCCTCAGTGCGTACCTCCACATAGCACCTTTCTTCTCACAGTGAGGTTCACCTGCCCATTGCGGGCTGCGTGGTGCATAAGGTCGATGACGTAGCGGTGGGTCTTGCCAGCCACCGGGATCCCATCCACATAGACAAGCTCATCTCCTGGGTGTAGACGGCCGTCTCTGTCGGCGGAGCCCATGGCAATGACGGCTCCAATCAAAATCTAGAAACGAGGAGAGAACATTCACATACGTGTACAGGGGCATGCGCTTGAAGAGTGGATGCTGAGAGGCGGGGCGGATGCCCTTTCGGGTACTGTTTCCCATTGTCTACTGCTCACAGAAAAGCAAGTGCCTTGGACTCACTGCTGGTTTCCATAAAGTGTCCCACAGGGGGCACTTGCTGACTGCCTCATAATTGTCAGCCTGAAGGGGGATTATAACTCAAAACACACTGATGCTAGCTGGCTACAACACACGACCTCTGCACTGAAATACTGTGGAGACCGAGTCACACCAGTTCTTGACTATCTAGGCTTGAATATGGCTTCTTACGCTTTGCAAGCCTCACCTCCTTCTCTTACAAAATGGGTGACAACAGGGCCAGTTCATAGGATTGCTGGCAGGGGCCGCTGAGAAATTTAACTTCTGCACGACATCGTGTGTGCGCAAATGTCAGGGAAACCGCTGTGGGTCACCATTAAACTCTGACAGAGGTTCAGTTCCCCCCCTTGCTTGTTTACTTTGAGACATTGGAGGGGTAAAGCAAAAGAAAACAAAACAATATTGTTTTCTGGCTAGTTGACGTACTCAAATAGTCTCAGCTGAACCTTCTCCAAATTCTTGTTTCATTCACTGAGGGTTTCTTTAGAACACTGTCTTTCTCTGCACAAATAAGAACATTCCCAGCTCCATGTCCGCTCAAATGCTTCTGTGGTAGATACAGCACCACTGTGCCAGGAAGGGAGGAGGTGTGCATTCTGGAACTCAAAGCATTATTATAATACCCAAAACTAGGACCATGATGAAAAGCAGTATATTTGACTTCCAAGAATCCAGCGGGATCTCTTGATTTAGTGACTATAAGCAAGACCTTTTTATTTTTTATTTATTTTTATTTTTATTTTTATTTTTGCTTCCTCAGAGGAAAGAAATGGTGCTTAGTATTTTAGTTTTGCTGTTTAACCTACAAAAAATGTCTCCAAGTTGTGCACAACAGGTCTCTTTTTTCTTTCCTTTGCCAGTACCTGAGCTGTATGGCTCCTGAAGGCAGTGGTTTCATCAGCCTGACAATATTACAGAGGCCTCACTCCAGGTTTTAAATTCTGATAAAGTGATCTTTTGCTCCAAAATTGATTTCTTTCAGGCATAATAATTTCTTTCAAGTTTCAGATCTGTAGAAGCCAGCTAGCTTGTAGAACAGCCCCAACCTGGCCTGCATGTCTTCAGGCTTGGTACCCAGAATGGGTGTTCTTGAACTTAGTCCTATTTCTCATGTCTGTCAACATGGCAACTGGATCTGAATGTACTGATCTTTTAGGTACAGGCAACATCACAGTTCAAAGGATTTCATATCCTTACACGCTGCTTAGAGGAATGACCATTTCCTACGGTATTGCCGCAGTCTACTCTTCCTGGAGGGGTGGGGTGAGAAATAGCTCTACTTCCACTGCCCCGAGGAGCCACTCACTTCTGCACCTCCTGTTTTTTCCCTTGAACCTGTTGTACCTACTTGCCATAGTATAGAAGTTGGGTATACTTCTGACAATCTATTTCCCATTATTGTCATGCCAACCTGAGTGTTTGAGTTTCTTTCTAAAGATATTCCAGTCTGCTCTTCAAAAGGCTCAGCCCACTATGGAGTGCTTCAAAGGTTTTCTGAGTGCTTTGTGCAAAAGCCAGTTAAAATAAGTGTTTGTTTCTCCACTGCTCTATGAAAGCTGCATTTAGTAGGATTTGCCCAAAGAAAATGCTTCAACCTTTAATTTCCTGTATAAGGAAGCAGGAAAGTTTATAACTAGTTATAAAGAAAACAGTTTATGAACTACTTGGCTAGCTAATTACCAACTCAAAGGCAAAATTCTGCATCTAACCTATGAAACTTTACCACTGGGAGAGCCTACAGTTACAACAGGGCCTTATACAAACCTCGGAAAGACAAGTCACACATTGGAAAATTCCTGATACTCTCTTGTTGTGGGGTAAACACAAGGATGTACACATACTATTGATGCTACATTCTCTGTTGCTAGTTTGATGTCACTCGTTAAAGGAAAATCCCTGTAAAACATTGCTTTCTTGTCATATTGCTGTGATAACAGTAATTCATTTCAATAAATATTCACTGAGAAGTGCGGGGTGATGCTATAGAATGCCAGGAATCCACAGTGCAAATAATAATAATCCTCAACTTATGGAGCCACCATTCCTGGGGTGCAAAAAAAATGTAAAAAATATGCAACCTAAATAGTATGTTAGAAGATATGTACAATGGGAAAAACAGAAGGCGTGTGTGGGTATCACCTGTGTGGCCAAGGCAGTTAGGGTTAGAGTAGGCATCATTGAAAAGTTAACACTTTGAAGTGTCAAATGACAATGAAGTGTACTGAACACATTTTCCCTCACTTTTGTTAATTCTTTGAGAATTTTATACCATGTATTTTGATGGTGTTCATTCTTCTCCTAAAGCCCTTCCCAGACCACCCTCTGTTCCCTCCCTACCAACCTTTCTGTTCCTTTTTTCTTTCTAAACTCATCAAGAACAGTTGATGCTGCCCATTGTACTCTTGGATGTGGACCCTTCTGGGGAGCATGGCCAACCCTTCAGGGGCTGCACCCTTAAAGAAACCGACTCTCCCTTTCCCGGCAGTTATCAGTTGCCAATAAGCTATGGGTGGTACTTTGTTTCTGTCTCCCTTCCTCCAGGCTGAGATTTTGTCTGGCTTGAGCTTGCACAGCCTTTGTGCATGCTGTTGTAGTCACTGTGAGTTCATATGGGCAACTGCCCTGCTGTGTCTGGAAAATACTATTTCTTTATAGTCATCTACTTCCTCTGGCTCTTACAATCTTCACACCACCTTTCCTGTAATGATCCGTAAGCCTTGGGAAGAGGGGTGTTATAGAGATGTCTCATTTAGAGCCGAGTGTTCCACAGTCTCTTCTTCTCTGTACCTTGACCAGTTGTGGGGCTCTGTGTTATTTGCCATCTACTAAAAAAAAAAAAAAAAAAAAA